ATGTAATATTATTCACCAGGAAAAGAGAATAAAATCTTGCCATTTATGGCAACATGGATGAACCTAGAGGGTATTATACCAAGTGATATAAGTCATACAGAGATAACCTTTTTAATTTTTTAACATTTCTACTCTTTTGTTATAACACTTAATTTAAAACACAAACATTGCACAGCTGTAAAAAATATTTCTTTATATCTTTATACTATATTAATAGCTGTGAGTGATGCTTTGTACTACAATATTATGATGGCTATATCACTAGATGATAGGAATTTTTCAGCTTAATTATATCTTATGGAACCACTATTGTATATACAGTTTGGCATTGACTGAAAGATCATTTTGCATTGCATAACTATACACAACTACCTGGCTCTTTGCTTCTTATAAATGGTTGATTAGAAATATCCAATAATGATATTTTGTATATATGCATTTCTAGATCATGTCATGAACTATAAGTACTCTCTTTACTACTATAAATTGAGTCACTACCATCTTTAAGGCTAGCTTGATTAGAGAGCCAGTTCTAGAAACCCCAGAACCAATTCAGAAAACTCATCTTTAAAATTCTGTTTCTCTAGAACAGTGGTTCTCAACCTTCTGGCCCTTTAAATACAGTTCCTCATGTTGTGACCCAACCATAAAATTATTTTCATTGCTACTTCATAACTGTAATGTTGCTACTGTTATGAATTGTAATGTAAATATCTGATATGCAGGATGGTCTTAGGCAACCCCTCTGAAAGGGCCGCGAAAGGGGTCGCGACCCACAGGTTGAGAACGGCTGCTCTAGTACCATTCTTGGTACTAAAATCTGTATCAGTCCTCTGGGACTGCCATAAAAAATACAATAGACTTGGTGGCTTAAACAACACAAGTTAATTTTCTTATAGTTGTGGAAGCTGGAAGTACAAGATCAGGGTGCCAGCATAGTTGAATTCTGATGCAAATTCTCTTTCTTGCATTCTTTCCACTGTGTGCTCACATGACCTTTCCTCAATGCGGGCATGTGGAGAGAGAGAGAGTTCTTTTCATCTTCTCATAAGGTCACCAGTCCTATCAGATTAGGACTCCATCCTTATTACCTCATATAACCTTAATTCCTAAAAGCCCTTCTCCAAATACAATCACATTTGAGGTTAGGGTTTCAGCATATATATTTGGGGGAGACACAGTTCAGTCCATAACAATAGATACTAGCATACCCAGTAAGATCATTTCTATCTGCTATCCGCAAATATTTCAAGTTTCTAAAACAGGAAAAAAACACTGGAATGTTTTTTTGTTATGAAATTATCATTTCAGTGATAACAAATGTAGAGTATATAGAAATCCATTATTCAGAGAGAAAAATATAATGGGAAATTTGGCAGTTTGACAATGGTCTGGTGGTTCCAACTTTTCAGGCAAATGGAGCTATGCCAGTATGTATATCCCATACATATTGGTATATTGAGGTTGGGGTTTGAGGGGGAGGAGGCAATTGGTAAAGGGGCCTTCTGAAAGGAAGGGAATCATGAATTAGATTCTTTTTCTAGAAGTTCAAAGTTATTACAGTATATCTTATGCATTGAGATGAGACTTACTAATCAAGAAGCAACATCAGCCCTACTAACCACTCCCTTTCCCAACCAGGGATACTCATTTTTATTGAGAAGGAATTTGAAATGTGAATCTAGCTTATAGGACAGCTTCATTTAAGAAAGGAGAGCACTGGTTCCTGGTATGGCACATTTCTCCTGCTGACTTTCTGATGATCCTCCTGGCTCCACGGAGATACTAAACAAATAAAATGTGTTTGTGATCTGGTCTAATGTAGCATGCATTAGATATAGATGAGTGTAACACTGGAAAAAGAGGGTTCCTTTTTTTTTCTCTTACACCCTTATCAGGTGGCTTGCACACTTAGAAACTCCTTAAAGTGGACAGGAATCTGCACAGATAAGTGAACCATATGTTCTCATGTAGACCAATCTCTTGGATTGCTTAAAGCGATGAGAATTTGGGACTTATCATAAGAAAGGAGGATTCAACAAGGGAAGACAGAAATTTTCCTAGTAAACCAGATGGGAGTTTAGAGATAAAAATTTTTTTTTAGAGATAAAATATTTTGAATATCAAAAGAAATGTTGTGACAACATGGATTAGACCTTGAGGGTATTATGCTAAGTAAAATAAGTCTGACAGAGAAAGACAAATATTGTCTATCTGACTTATATGTGGAATCTAAAGAACAAAACAAAACTCATACATACAGAGAACAGAAGGGTGGTTGCAGGGGTACTGGGAGGTTGGTTTGGGGGATGGGCAAAATGGGTCAAGGGGTCAAGAGGTACAAAATACCAGTTATAAAATGTCATTGAGATGTAATGGTGTATATTGATGTAATTGATGTATAGTCAGGGTGACTATAGTCAATAATATTGTAGTGCATATTTGAAAATTGCCATGATAATAACTCTTACAAGTTTTCATCACAAAATAAATTTTTTGTGAATTTGTGTGTGTAAATAGACTTATTCTGGTGACATTTCACAGGGTATACAAATATCAAATCATTACATTGTATACCTGAAACTAATAGAATGTTATATGTCAATTATACCTCATAAAAGTGTTTTAAAATTTAACCTAAAAATGAAATGTTCCATAGGGTAATGAAGAATGTATCTTATAGATAATAGATAAAAAGAGAAAGAAATGTGGATATGGATAAAGAGATAAAAAATTAAGAGAATATACATATAATCTGTGTCTATATTTGTATTTATAGAATAATCTTACCCCATACTGCTAACAATGATTGTCTCAATGGCTAATTTTTATCTATATAATTTTTTCAATGAGAGAGAATTGATTTTTAATAGAAATACATACCTATTATAATTTTGAAAAGAAGTCTCTCATTCCCAAAGAATTTCAAGCCCAGCCAGTGTGGCTCAATGGTTGAGCATCGACTTATGAACCAGGAGGTCAGGGTTCAATTCTTGGTCAGGGCACATGCCCAGGTTGTGGGCTCAATTCCTGGGGGCAGCCAATCAATGATCCTCTCTCATCATTGATGTTTCTGTCTCTCTCTCTCTCCCTCTCCCTGAGAGAGGGAGACTAGAAGATTATGGCAAGAAGTCAGGGGTAGGGGCTGAAACAAAGAAGTATCAGTGGAAATTATAAGGAGGATATAGATACAAGAGAAGATAAGAATCTATACCTGGAGGTCATAAAATAAAAAAGTAAACACACATGATCTTCCAATTAAAGATTTTATTTGCAAAGTTTTACAAAATTAATTAAAATATGAAGTCATAGTTGGTTATACATTTAGCTATTTTTTATTGATAATAACAGATTACATGAAATTAAGAGTTTCCCAGAAAGTGGAGCGAGAGGATTTTTTTATCTGTAGCCCTGGAACCTGGCAGAGACACTATGCCTCTGAAACTTTATTTCTACCTCAGAGGTCAGCATTGGTCTTGGAAGATCCTGGATAACCTGATGTAATATGTATACATATGGGCTGGTGAAGAATGAAATCTCTAACTTCTAAAACTAGGATTCATATTCTAAGTAAACTCTAGATATCTCAGTCAGTTTCAGGTAGTTCTCTAATTTAGGAGTTCTAATAATGTTAAGAAGGACATCTATGAGTCAGCAATTGGTTTAAAAGAGTTCCACAGAATCCCATAAATACTGGAACAAACAGTATTCATAGGTACAGGTTAAAACTACCCTATGTTTTTAAAGCCACATTGCACTGCCCTGACAGGTAGAAATTTTGCATGACAACAAAGTTGTCATTTGCTGGATCTCTTGGTCCTCCCTGGGTCTCAAAATTCTATTCTGACATTACCTTTTCCTGTGCCAGGTAAGGCTTTATTTATTACAAGTTAAAGATATAAAGAAGCCACCCAGATATTTTGAGAAGCAACCCAGAACCAAAACATCAATAATAAAAGTCAAGTCAACTTCCTATATATCAAAGCACCACATCTAAAAGGTCAAGGATGTAAAAAGTGACCTTTTACGTTTTAAAACACTACACAGTGTTTAGTTATGGTTTAGAAGAAATTATCAGAAAACATAGAAACCTTCAAACAATAGTTCAAATGGATATAAAATTTTAAAAAGTGTTTATTCAGAGTCTAGTGAACACTTAAAAATCTATGTTACCATATATCTTACTTTCCATAACTGTAAAAATAAGCTAAAATGTAGGAGTACATATGATCTAATCTATATTCCTAGCCCTACTAAATATGTAGCTATATGAGATAAAAATCTATGCTCAAGTGAAATGTAAAAGGATTATTATTTTTACTATTTTTTAAAGTAGAAAGTATATGCCTGGAGCCTGAATAATTCAGTACCAGTCTGTTGCAGTATACTTCATTAAGAAGTATAGTGTCTCTCTCATAGCATGAAGTCTTCTTGTAAATAATGCAATGAGTTAAAAGACTAACCTTGGTTGAAAAGGAAAGCCTGGTGAAAACAGATATAAAAACTGATTTAATAAAACTTCAGCAGCCCTAGCCTGTTTGGCTCAGTGGGTAGAGCACCAGTCTACAGACTGAAGGGTCCCAGGTTCGATCTTAGTCAAGGAATCGAACATGCCTGGGTTGCGGGCTTGATCCCTAGTAGGGGGCATGCAGGAGGCAGCCAATTAATGATTCTCTCTCATCATTGATGTTTCTATCTCTCTCTCCCTCTTCCTTCCTTTCTGAAATCAATAAAAACATATTTTTTAAAAAAAAAAAAAACTTCAGCATTGGTCAAGGAGAAATCTGAACCCCCAAATTCTCATTCACAATCTGTTATTAATTATAATTTGAGATAAATTCCAAGTTACTTCTAGGTTATGGATATCTGCCCAATGACAGTCTTGTATTAATAGACCAGATAAAAGGGGTGAGGGGGCAATTTCTGACTGTCACTGGAGGATAAAACGGATAGTTTCCTATTCTAGAACAGTGAAAGATGACATTAAGGGGGAAAACTAATTTTACGAAAGCCATTTAAAGAGAATTCAAGGGGACCTCAAACCAAATAGCCATGACCTGTATTCCTTTCTCATGTTTAAGACACAAAGGTCTCCATTTCTCTAAGGGAACTGCTCTTTCGGCATGACACACTCTCTCTCTTGCCTTGGAGCCAAGTAATTGGAACCCTAAACACACGGCGGAGCTTCTGTTGGAACCGGTTTCCGACAAAACAATACAAAAAGGGATTAACGCAGCTGTTGGTGAATCCCAGGAGGATGGCAAAAGGAAGTGCCAGGTCAATGACTGCTATAACTTCGCAGCTAGTAATGACGCCCATCCAGGCCAGAGCATCCAGGAAGGTCAGAACATGGAAGGGAAGCCAGCAAATAATGAACGCCAGGACAACAGCAGCTGCCATCTTCAGGACTTGGTCACGTGTTATTCTGTTCTTCCCATAGCTATTGGTCTTCAGTAAGTGTTTTCTGATTCCAAAATAGCATGTTGCTATGAATATTAAAGGGATAATAAAACCAAGGATATTTTTCATTAAGGCAATCCCAGCAGACCATTGGGCATACTTCTCAGGAGGGAAAGCCATAACACAAGCATTCACTCCTAAATACTCAACGGTTCTGACATCGCGAAAATAAAATGTTGGCAATGAGGACAGACAGGCCATACACCAAACAAGGGGAACTATATAAGATGCTTGCCAGGGGTTTCTTCTTTGAGACAGAAAGGGGTAGATGACAGATTGGTACCTATCAACACTCATGCAGGTGATAAAAAAAATGCTAGCAAACATGTTCAGGGTCAGAAAAGAACCAAAAACTTTGCACATCACAGGCCCAAAGAGCCAGTCATATCTGTAAGAATAATAGGACGCCCAGAGAGGAAGAGTGGCCAAAAGCAGTAAGTCAGCCACAGCCAGGTTAAAGATGTAAATGCTGGAAACCTTTTTAGGGCCCTTTTGACAACAGAACAGTGTAACCACAATAGTATTGACAAGAAATCCAATCACAAAAATAATGTAGTAGAGAACAGGAATCGCATCTAAATGCTTATCTGATGGCTTATGTGAGCAGTTAAAGGTAGAGTCATTGCCAGAGATGTTCCCAAGTCCGAAGTCCAGACTGCTGGTGACGTTTTTGTTGATGGTGGCAGGGGTGAAGTTGCCTTTCATGTTGAAATGTCAGCAGCTCTTAATTTTTACCACCTTCTGTGAAAATAAAAAAAAAACCTCAGAACATCTACAGAATTTAGGACATTGAGTCATTAGCATTTTGAATGTTTGTTAAAAGCAAAAAAAGGTGGATGATCATAAAAAAAAACATTAGGAAACAGAACCATGACATAAAATCAGATTAAACTTTACTTCTTGGAAAAAAAAGATTTTTTTTCACCAGTACCAACAAGTTAAGACATTGCAGCATCAGGGACTGAAAATTCCGAACAAAACTACATTTTTCTCATCCTTTCTATCATATTTTCAAAAGGTTTAATGAAAATTAATATTCCAAAAGATTAGCCAGGATAGGAAATGCATAAAACAAACAAGAAGGAATCAAGAATAAGAAAAGTTAATATTTCAAAAGCACGTGAGCACATATTTCAGTCTACATATACTTTCTAGAAAACACACTGTTGTCTGCTATTGCATAGAAAAATGCCTTATTCAAGTAACTAATTATATACAAATCATTACAGCTATGGAAAATATAAGTAACATAAGCTCTGGAAAAAATAAGTAAGTGCACAAAAGATTGAAAGAGAATATGCAAAAGGAACATATTGGGATGGGGGATTATGGTTGGTTTTTACTAATTAAAAAATAATTCATTTAGTTCTACTTTTCCATTTTTTTCACAATAATAATATAAATAAAAGAAACATAGAACACATGCATATTTCTAAAAGTCCCCTATTCACATTTTAATAGAGACTGACTTTAGATCTATTTAAATTTAATCTAATTTTTAAATAGCCAAATAGTTTGGGGTCAAGTAGACATCGTTTTGATTGCTCAATGAAGTAAGAGTTGAACATCAAAGATTAATCATATATAATTATATCATTTTTCTTTTGGTATCTTTTCAAGTTTAACACAACTAAGTAGTAACATTGCTACATGGCTCTCAAATGTTATTACCAATGTTTCAGTCTTTGTGATTCTATTGTGCTTGTTTTAAAAGCAACATTATTCTAAAACAAAAGAAAATTAGCTGAAGGTAAACAAAGTAAAGGAAAGACTATTATTTTACATAGTTTGAAAATACATAAAAATAAAGTACTCTATGAAAAATGTCATCACCAAAGAATCTCATAATAAACAGCAAAGTTCTCATTTTTATCTAAAACTAATTCTCTCATAATCTTGACCTAATAAATTAACATAAAAGAATATTTAAAAACCCACTTGAAGACTTACTGGTTGTTGGAGTTTTAAACTTATTTATCATAAACCAGCTTGTCTAGTTCTTCAGTGCACTCCTGTAAGAGAAACAGCAGTTAAATAATTTAAGAGTTTTGCAAATACAGTGTTAAAATACAGAGGAAAAAGTACAGTTCATCCATAAAAAATATTTTTGTTTAATGTATGTTCTATTTTTCAAGTGCAGTATATAGAAATTGTGCAGACCTACCTTAAAACTTCAGGCTGAAGAATGCTTTTAATTCTGTGCTTACTCGTTCCCTTAGACTCAGGGAAGTAATAGCACCAGATCTCTGGTTTCCTTCTTATATGTTCGGTCTGTCCACTGGGAGCCTTCAACCTACATAATTCTAGGGCTGACTTATGAACACTTGCCAGCTTTCCAGAGCTTTTTTTTTTTTTTTTTTTTTTTTGGCTGCAAAACATTAATCTGAAATTCTCACTGTCTCCAATCATAACAGCTCATTCAAATAAATCTCAAACAAAAAAAATGAAGTTTCCACAAATGTGTTAGAGAATTTTGAAGTCAGTGACTTACTTGAAAAGAAGAATATAATTATTTGTAGAATTTTCTCTTCTTCCCTGATACTGGCATTCTAAAATGCATTAAGGAGTGGAGACTAGGGAATTTATTCTAGTAGCAGTGTCATTGTCCCCAATGTTCTTTGTAACCTTCATTACTTTTAAAAATCTTTACCCTTGTTTATTAAAGAACAGTAGCAATGTGACTTGAAGTCTAGAATTTCTAAAATTTCTCCCTTGCTTTAAACAATTTCTGTTGGCTTATTGCTTGAGTAGGGGTGATAGGAGGGATATAATTTTCATGTTTTGGAAAAGAGGTATTAACATTTGGTGCTCCCTTTCATAGGTCTCTGTCATATTTGCGGTTTAAATACAAAGCGCACAAGGTGAAGAAGGAGAAAGGCAGCAACTGCAGCCTAGATGGAATTGTTATCTCTTCTTGTGGGCGCTGCAGTGATCAACCTTACAAGATCAGCCCAATAGAAGCAAGAGTAACAAAAGGAAGAAAGAAAGAAAAGGTGATGGTAATGATAATACTAGTTGACAAACTATGTGCCAAACACTGTGCTAGATGCTTTATGCTCGGTAATTTAATAGAGAGGCAATGTAGCATACTGGTATGTAAATGACCTTGGATCCAACCGCCTGGTTTCACAAGCTCAGCTATACCACTTACTACTTCTATGACTTTGGCCAAGTTATTTTCCGTCTTTTGTGTCTCAGCTTTCTCATCTGAGAAATGGGGATGTTGTTAATTACCTACATCATAGAGTTAGGAAAATTAAACAAGCTAATGTATTTAAAGTGCTTAAACCCGTGCCTACCACGCGGTAGGTGCCATTATAAGCTATTAATATTAACTCCATTTTACAAATCAGGAAACTAAGACTCACAGAGTTTAACTTTTATGTGGTCACATAACTATTAAATGAGGACATTTGAATTTAAACCGAGACCATCTAATGCCAGAGGCCATGTTCTTAACTTCCATACTACAGGAGGGAGTACTAGCTGGTCCTTTAAACTCACCTACTATCCTGGGAAAAAGAAAACCTGCAACATTTACAGAAAGTGACTATTGGCCATTCACTAACTGTTAAAAAACACTAAATAGGGGGAAAGAACTTGAAGGATTGTTATGTGGGAGATATTTTCCTTTTTTAAATATATTTTTATTGATTTCAGAGAGGAAGAGCGAGGGAGAAATAGAAACATCAATGATGAGAGAGAATCATTGATTGGCTGCCTCCTGCATGCCCCCTACTGGGGATCGAGCCTGCAACCCCAGGTATGTGCCCTTGACCAGAATCAAACCTGGGACCCTTGAGTCCACAGGCCAACGCTCTATCCACTGAGCCAAACCGGTTAGGGCAGGGAGTTATTTTTCTTAAATTTATTCACAAAATGAAGACCATAGAGAGACAAAATGAGTGACTAGATAGTTTATTATAGTGAGTAGAGAAAACCAGAGAAGCCACGACACTTAACTGGGTATAAGGATTCCAGTTATTTGTATGGATCACATCTGTCTGGTAGCAGTAATAGTGAGCCTGTGTTCACGTGCCGGGAGGCTCTGAGGAAGTATCTGGGGACTTAAGCAATTCAGCAGAAGGGAAGCAATGAAGAAGAGCGGGCAGGTGACAGAAAATAAAATTACAAATGATGTGAGACAAAACAAATGCTTTTGACATTTCTGTTTCTGCATTAACATTGAAGTCTATCCTGCTGTACACAGGCAGATGGCACCAGTAAGAAGTGGTCACCACTGCCTGAAAAATACAGTAGATTCAAAGGTTAGCGGCACACCATTTCCATGCGGTGTGTTTTGGGTTTTTTTGGTAGACTGAGTTTGAATATTGAAAAAATGCCCCTAATATGCATACACACCATTTTATTAAAACTCAAAAATTTTTTTTCATATGCTCTGGACAGATTCAAGTGGAGGCTCTGTCCAATTGGTGGGAAATGGACTTGGGAGACAAATGAACAGGCAGACACATATGATTACAGGCAAAATTGTTGAAATGGGAACTGGTTTCACTCTTTGTTTAAGCCTGGTCTCTCCCTCCTTTTCAAATGTTTGTTTTTGACACATACAAGGGAATTTTCCAGGCCAGAGCCTCCTGAGTGGTCAGCATGGGTCAGATTCCCACCCTGCTCTATTTCTAGCCCCCTCTCATGCCCCTTGCAAAGAAACAGTCAGGAGGTGAGCTATAAACTTGTGAGAAAAAAACTGCAGGCTCGCCTCTGGGAGACCTAGCCTTGAACACCCCCGAGGAGCAGGGAACCTTGTCTAGGGCTTTTGTCCTTCATTACAGTAACTTGTGACGTAAATGAAGTTTAAAGAGGCACACATTTCCCAGAAGATTAAAAAGGGCATTTACTCTGTTTCTTCATAATTTTAGGACTAAAAGACTTCACAAGTCAAAGAAAAATGTTGTAACTGCAGTGAATTAAAGAAAAAAAGTAAAAAGGGGGAGAATAACAATAATATTGACACCACTTGAAGCAAGAAATACAGCATGTTATTGATTCAGCAAAGAACTCTAAATTAATCCAACAATGTAAATACACTTGAGAGTCAAATAAATGTCAGTCATGGGAAACAGTACAACACAAAAAATTTCACTTTCCTGGGGGCAGGGGATAATTTTTCTGCTGGAAGATTGACTTTAAAAAGCCTCGGGTCATTTGAATAAATTATGCAGCTCTTTGGGGCAAGTGTAACTTGGCTAGCAGAATTAAACACACTAAATTAAGGTAACTCACACTAAATTAAGGCTTTTTGGTGAATACCTATTGTGTATTGAGAGATTACATAAGAGTATACTAGTAGTTTAAAAGAACAGGTTTTTTAAAAAAGACATTCTTTAGAGGAATTTCACCTCTCTAGAAGGATATACAGTTCAGAAAAAGACTTTATTTGTCTCTCTTACTCCCACTCACAAACACAGATGAGGCTTTAAAGGAGAAAAGGAATTATTAAATGCAAAAGTCTGAATATACATGCCCTGGTTATAAAGGTCAGGTGCAGATCATGGACGGCTTAAATATATGTGGGCCTTCCTATTAGTTTAAGTTTCTCTTTTCTCTCTCTCTCTCTCTCTCTCTCTCTCTGTTAATTCTCATCCAAGGATATTTTTTCCCACTGATTTTTAAAGAGAATGGAAGAGAGGGAAGAGACAGAGAGAGAGAGAAACATCCATGTCGACTGTTTGCCTCCCGCACGC